TAGGACAGCCCACGTCGAAATCAAGCAAATCACACACAAGTTGGGCTACAACATCATCAATAATAAAAACAACAGCATTATTTTGTGTAGCAAAACGAACAACAACATCATAATGATCAGCTGCTACAACGCGTCGGCAGGCGTTAGTGAAATCATCAGTTCAAATCAGCCCATTCAAGTGTTGCCATCGATGGAAGACCGACCGATCGTTCGATAGATCGATCCATTGATTGTTGATGCTTCGACGATTGCAAACGCGCTGAACACAAAATTAGCATTTTTAGCCAATTCGTCGCATTTGTATGATACAATGAAACCGTTAGAATTGCCAACTTGTCGGTAATCGAATGCGCAAAGTCACGTCCAAATGTAGGAGTATGTAGCGGATGAGTGAAAGATATATTGGCGGCAAGAGCGCTGGATCAGTGGGTTGATGCGCTAAAAAAAAAATAATAATAATAATAAAAAAAATCGAGCGTATGCGCCACACAAACCAACTGAACTAAAGCGAATTGAGGAGCAAAACTTCGACACTGACTCAGATTGAATTGAATGCAATTGAATTCGACTGGTATTGAACTAAGCCACCAACCAAGTCAAGCTAAGCCGAGCTAAGCCGCACTGAACTGAGCTAGAATTGGCATTTGAGTTGCGCGCGCTGACTGGAGAATTGCAACAGATTTAAGTGGCATGCAAGCGAGCAACAATCACTTGGCTCCTCGCTCACTTGCTGGCGCGCCATTCATGGCATAGCCAATTTGGCGCTGACTAGGTGATGCGGCTGCCACAAATGCCATGTTCGTTATTGGTGGCAAAACACGCAAGTAAATACTGGCGCAATAGGAAAATCAAATTGCAAAAAAATAAAAGCTTCACACACACACACACAAACGACGCCAAACAGTGAGTGCATTAGTTGCACGGTGAATGGTGTTTTGGGGTTGCAGATGCTGCTTGAAATTCAATTAACCCAATTTGGTCTACCAAAGCGCATCGAACCGACACTGATGCGCCTCAACGTCGCTGACGTTATATATACATAGATTAACGACAACAACAAACACATTGATTTCAACAGCTGTTGCGCTTCGATTGTAGCATCTTCGCGGCTTGCTGCTTGCCTATAATCCACAACTAAACCGAGCAGCTCACCCCAAAATAAGGCTGATCTTAAGCGGCAAGCAGAAAGCGCCATTTCTCCGCCTCGTTTTCTGGCCATTTGCATACTAATTTACGGTGTAGCTTCAGTGCCGCCTTAAAAATTCATAAGCAAAATAATTCTGCAAAAGGAAAACAAAAGCCACAGCCAAAACTTAAGCTAATAATCGCACACTTAAGTAAGTCGGATGGAAAAGTTGCTTATTGTTGTGACACGCCACCGTCATCGTCGTCGTGGCCGGCAATATCAATTGCATTGCAATTATGCCAAAAACGCTGATGGTTTTTTATTACAGCAGCAATAATGCGCGCCACTGTATTGCTGTATTTCATTTTCGTTTTCGTTTTTCTATTCGATTCTCGCTATTTTGGTGTGACGCTCTTACTTCTTTATGTTTCATTTTTTCTTCATTTTCATTTTAAAGTTTCATGTTAAAGTTCAACAACACTTAAAATTACCTAACTACAATAAATTGCTGTGCGGCAAGTCAGCATAAGGTACACAGCAGTTGCGCTGTATATTTCAAATTATGTTGCACTGCATTTTATGCGCTCCACTGAAAAGCAGCGATTTTTATTTTTTATTTTTTTTTGGTTTTTATTGCTTATTTTTCGTCTTCGTATTTTTTTCGAGTGGATGTAACTCTAGTATTAAGCACTTAAAGTGCGGCTGCTGACCCCTCGCCTGACATCTCACTTATGAAGTCGTTCGGTTTGGTGTTGGCAAACAGCAATTGGCCTGGCTAAAAAGCCTAATTGCTCTTTTCGTAATGCGCGCGCAAAATGTCATGACTCATGACTGATGATGACTCATGGCAGACGGGAGGCCATATTCTATTATAAATGAGATTAGACAATGTGCGGTCGGTTATATTAAGGAATGCATGCAAGAAAAAATTGGAATAAACAATAATAAAATAAAGCAAAATATATCGCACTAAATTTTACAACAGATGCTGGAGATTTGTTCGTCGTTCACTGTATGCTCACCAAGGCGGAATAACGAGCCACCGCGAACAATAGACCTCCAAGTTTTACCTCGAAAGTTATTAAGCTTATACATTTTTTTGTCTTTTCCACGTTTTAAACACAGCCTGGAGTTTTGGTGGTAAATTCACCATAGACGAGGTCAGTGTTGCTGTTGTGCGCTTAAAGGGGAAATTTGATACTTTTTAAGCACCAATACCCTTTGACTGGACTTTTTAAAAATTTAGATTTTTTTACCCTTTTACAAAATTATGTGCGCCTGTTGCCCCTTCTCAGAGATTTTTTAAAGAAATATTAACAAAATCATGCTGTTAAAAAATATTTCCTACTGCAAGTACGAAAAAATGCATCACTTAAAACTTTTAAAATAATTGCAAATTGATTTCTGTGTATGTTTGCAAATCTGTTTTGTGCAAAGCTAGTCACACTATTTTACTTTACAATACATTTAGATTTGATTTTGACTTTGGTTTTCAAATGTATTCTTTTACTAGTAAAGCAACGCAAAAATAATTTGGTGACCCTTTTTTCGTCATTTACCCCTGGAGGAGGTATTCAAAATACGTCAAATCTTGGAAAAGCCTCGGAGAATAAGATCGATACCGCAATTGATGGAACAATCAGCTGTCTGAGCTATGGCTACGCTAGCTTGGTCATGCCATCCGAATGGACAGAAACGCTGCAGCTCTGGGTGAAGAAACATTGTTGAGAAACATTATGGGCATATTCCTTCACTTTCGTTTCCTGTTTTTTAGTCAAAGGCGCAGCCACCGACCGTTTTTTATAAAAATAAACTGCTTTTTCACATTTCTCGTGCCCGAAAACCACCAGAAAGGCCTCTGGAATATTTGCACGTGAATCACTCTTCATTATTTAAAACGATGTTCTGTGACCGCCAACTTCAAACTGAAAAAAAGCGGTTAAAATCACCAGCCTGGGAAAACGAAGAAATCACTTATGCCTATATAATCCAGGCTTTAAGAAAGCCGAAAATGTCGTACAGTGTAATAAAATACTGCGTAATTTTCGGAGTTATTCGAAGATTTTCCAGACACTCTTCGGGGTTTTATAAATTTTTCAAAGTTATCCGTATATTATTTTTTGTGATTTTTTGGTAAAATTTTCGGCATTTTTTGTGCATGCTTCAGTTTTCTTCGCTTTTTTTTTTCTTTTTGGAGGTCATTCGGTTTTCCCATTAGTGCCGTGACTTTTTGGGACCACTTCAGTATTTTCGGGACTTATCGACATTACTTTTTTACAGTACGGTACAGTATAGTAAAGCGATACATACTACTTGCGGTACGCTCTAGCCTTAGAGATTAACTCGTAAATAATACTACTATTTCTTCCAATTTGGATTTTGAAAAAAGAAAGGAATTAAAGCGGGACAAATGTAGAAGGCAAACACAGGTTATGGCTTAATAGTAATAATAATAATAGTTTAATGCTGAAATTATGCGCGGAAATACGGCAGTTTAGTCGGGAAACGCTAAAGTGCTAGTTGTAATCTTTAGTAATTTGTATCTATTTAGTTGTAATTCACGTAGTTTGCAAATCATTTATTGATTTTCGCGTTTTTTATCATCGATCATTCGTTGGTAGAATGTGCCATTGCGAAGAAGTTACCTACTTGCGGAAAATTCAAAAAAAAATTGTTCGTGGTAACTTTCAAAACTAGTAAGAACAAAAACTCTTAATACTTTGTGACTAGTTATAGTATTTTGTAAGTTGAAATCTCAATAAAATACGAACGAGTAATAACTTCTTTAAGATTAGTCTGCCATCGTGCCACAAGGTGCTAACTAACATGACGCCCATTGGCTCTCTAGTAAACGAAGCTACGCGACTTTATCATAGTCTCGGGGAGAAATAGCACATTTAGCTGATGGTGATATATTAACGAGACAAGATCCTTTGTTGACACGCTTTTTTAAGGATTATTTTTTAGATTTGGATATAATAAATATTAAACGTAATGTTAGTTTGCCTCCGATTTTTGCAACCCCGAAATCGTCTATAGACAGGTTCGAAAAGTTCTTTAACTCTATTAGGGCTTTCGGTACATAGTTTGCCTAGTTCTTATCGAGTTTCTCCTCCAACTTGTGGTGTTCTTTGATGTGGTCACTCAAATTGAGGGGCACACAGCCTTAAGGTGAAAATTAGTGGTAACATACCATAACGTCATAGCCATACCCATTGCCATAATCGTAACAATATCAACTATCATGTCGGTGTTGCCAGATGCGTAACAAGAAGCGGAAAATATGTTATATCGTAGGATATTTTCGCAGAACTTCTAAATAGTTAAAACTCAACAGCAGATCATAATAAAATATGTACATCAAATTAAAGGTAATAACTTGTACTTTTATAGCATTATAAATTTATTTTGCATTAGTTATGAAATTTTGTTAAAAAATGTATTTTATGAAAAAATACGAAATTTTCTTTAGTTTTTTTTAGTAGTTTTGGATTACTAATATTAAAAATCATATAAGTTATTTACAACAACTGAAAGACAAAATAATTGTCTTTATTTTGACATCATTAGTTTTTGAATCGGTTATGTATTTCATAAGATGTTCGAACAATTTTAATTTAACCTTTTATATCTTCTTTAAATTTTTGCACCAAATAATTTTGGTGCAGTTGAAGTCAGCATGAGAAGTTCTATTTTGGTTTGCATAGCTAAATGGTTCATATTCCACACTTATGCCAAAATGTTTGCCGTGAACATTTTTTATTTAACGTCTGGCAACACGTTCTTACTCGCACTTCAGATATCAGCTGATTATGGTTATGGTATGGAGTATGGTTCAAATGCTTAACTTTAGTAAATCCTTTAGTTAGCTTACCTTTTTTATATCCTTAACCAATGGGACTGATGATATCTGAAAAAAGAAAATGAAAATCTGGTTAAAAAGTTATTTTTGGAAAATACGGGTTAAGAAAATTAGCAAAATTATATGTACTAGGTTTTCTAACTTATCACGTCGTTAAACTTAACTATAACGTGCAAAGTTACTTAAAGGAAAATATCCTGCTTTGGAACTAAAACGTGATTAAAATTTTTTATATCTTTGCAGGTCATTGAAGGACTTTAGCAGGACTTGGAACTGACCAGATTCATTCCAGTCTGTCGATAAATTTTGATAATTTGATACATATTGCTAATTCGATGAATTTCAAAAACACTTAAGTCCCACAACTGAACAAAATTCGATAATTCGACTAGCTTCGATAAATTTCGACAACTGCGTTTCAAGAGCTCGACAAATTTTGATAACTCGAAAATGTTTACATCGTGGTAAAAATCGATAACTCGATAAACTTTGGATGCCTCTATAAATTTTGACAACTCGGTTGATTTTATTAGCTCCATATTTTTCCAAAGCTCGAAAACTCGTTGCACTTCGGTAACACGATCAAATTCGATAAGCAGTGATAATTCGATAAAATTATATAAGCTTGAAATTTCGATAACTCCATATATTTTGAAAATTCCATTAACTTCGATTCGACAAATTTCAGTAATCGACTTTCAGTCGATAACCTGATAGGCTGAAAGAACTCGGTACATTGCGATAACACGATAAATTTCGTTAACTGTATAAATAAACATAATTCAATAAATTTCGATAACTTGACAAATTTCATTAACTTGGAAAATTTGGATAATGCCATACATTTTTAAAGCTCGGTTATAGAATTCTTGAAAGCCAATATTTTTCGATCGGGAAACTCAGGAGACTTCCAGTAACAATACCCAATTGGTTATTTGCCAATTTTTAATACTATTTAAAGATATTTTATTTTTTCCCATTGTATTTTCTGGCATTTGCTGTGGGTTTTGACGGACCCATAAAATATAGTTACTATGAAAAAATGGTTAAATAAATAATTGGGTATTATTGCTGCGAATCTTATAAAAAGAAAAATATTGACTTCCAAGAATCGATATATTGACTTTTCTTTTCTACGAAAAGTGTTTTTCACCATATAAAATACATGCAAAACTTTTGAGCGCTTTAAGCACTACCTAAATATTTTTTGATTTCAAAATAAAAAATAAGGGTGTATTTTTTCGATATAGAACAATCCAACGGGATGGCGGCATTAAAATTTCGACTTTACTGTTTTTGAATCACTCTAATATACAGTCTATAAAGAAATCTTTTTAACCGTCAGGCGGTCAGGTGACTACGATATGACCAGTAAAGGCATAAAAGCAATCTGAATAGAGAGGACGACATTAGATATTTTGCAACTCTGCTGGTAGTAGTTAAGCACCTTTTGAGCATTTTCTATGTTACACAAAAATCATTCACTTCAGTAGCCTCGAAAGGTCAAAGGGTGTCAATAGTCCTTTAATGGATGCTTAAAAAAAAATCTCAATAGAAGTTACTACTCAATTTCAATTTTTTTAAGTGGTATTATTGATTTCTATACGCAGTTTTTGTACATTTTTTAGATCAGCGAGTCTTTTATTATTTCAATTCAAAGAACATTAACTAACTATATCTTTCATTTTCAAACAATTGAATAATTATGCCCTGCTAGCGGAGCTTGGAAACAAAAAAAAAAAAGTAATGATTTCACTCTGCACTAAAACGCGAGTACTTTCGTGCGATCACATGCAGGAAACCCAACACCAACCTCAAAATGTACTGAAAAGTAACGAAAATGGGCTATTAAGCAATGCTTTGCTTACACAATCGCTGATGATACGCAAATGTGTTGACAGAAAGTGAGATAGGCGATAAATGTAGATAAATAGAGGTAGTGGCAATAAAAATGGCAATAAGCGAGCAACAATGGGAAAATAAAACGGCACCATGTGGTAACATTCACTTTCCTTAAGTGCTGCAAAGAAAAAACGCCCTCACGCAAGTTGAAACGCAGCCACCACCGCGGTATATTTAACAATCAATGGGAGGGAAGGATAAACAAAAGGAAAGAAAGCAAGTTCAACGAAATCGGTGCAATTACTGCGAGCCAACAGCAGTCGTCAACAAGTCGTTCAAGCCACACACGTCGCGTCGCTGGTTACTTGCGTTCGAACAGGCGGCGATGTTATGGACGGCGAGCAGGCACAATATGTAGCGATTGTTGGGCTAATTCCTTTTACTTTCAAGGCGCGGAAAAGCGGTAGCTGTATTTTTGTTTAGTGTGTGGATTATCGCACACGCAAGGCTCCGCAGCAAACCGGCTTGCTTGTATGCATTTGCGAAACTCGCGGCTGTGTTCCGCATTCGCCGTAATGTCATGCAAATTCTCTTGTCTTCCTGCCGCACCGTAAAACGAAAAAAAAACACAAATAGCTTCGCATTCGTGAAAATGTTAGCAGCTGCAGTCAATGCGTTGCGTCGCGTCGCGTCGCTTGTTACATTTAGATACTACTTTCGTGTACGCGCACTCGCTATAAACGTTTCGCGCCCGCACTCGCACAGCGTCTCGCCAAGACGTTTGCGACACTTGTGGCGCAGCCATAGACCCCGACTTGGATCGATAGTAAAACCAATATAGCCAGAGCCATACCAAAGGCGTAAAAGGTTCGTCGCTTAAGTCTTTTGTTTTGATTGTACGCGCTCAGCTCTTGCTGTGTGTGTGTGTGTGTGTGTGTGTGTGTGAATTGAGTTTTATTATTGTTGCTTTTGACCATTAATGGCCATTTAAATGTCCACTTTTGCAAATCGTTATTGCACAATTTGGCAATGCCGTGCAAATACAACAACACCAACAACAAAAAGAGAAACAACGCCAGCATTCAACAGCACAGTACTAAGTAAACAAGCCCAAACCTTCGCCAGCAATTGCTGCAAATCCGGGCTATTCAGGCAAATAATTGCAGAGCGAAAAAAAAAAGTTTATTTTCCTTAAAACGCACATCGCACTACTGCGCATAAAGAGCGTTTAGTTTGTGCATTTTTTTTTTTACTCATTCATGTGCTATCCAAGCAGCTTGTCTTGTGCGCTCGCCCCATCACTCCATTGCCATTTGGCTATTGTTTTCGTGTAACGCTTCGTTTGTTCGCCTGCCAGTTTGCCTGCCAGCTAAATAGGCTAGAGGACTGCCTTTGCTCGAACGATTGCTGTATGTATTGTTGCTAGTGTTTTGCTTGTCTGGGCTTAATTGTTCGAACACGACACTTTGTTTGGCTAATTTCACAGCAAATTTCAATTGTCAACTACGTTAGCGCGCGCGCAATTTGCGTACTCGCAAACACACACAAATCTGAATCCAAATTTAATCGCAGTTGCGGCTGAATGCTGCTGTTTTCTTTTTTTTTGGCAGCTAGTTACATGCGCATGCGCACAAATCGATTTTGAAATTAAAATAGAAATGGAAATTGAAATTTTATGTGATTTTTCCGCATTCATTTCAGTGTACACAAAACAAAAACAAAAAACAACAGCAACAACAATATACCAGCAGCGCGCAAATGACAAGTCGTTGTGCAAGAGCGCGCTGCAAAATCGTGAGGAAGCATCTGAATGCAATTCTTTCGTGTTATGTAAATCAGTGGGAAACTTTCGGCTGTGGGAAGCTATTGGAAGCTGGTACTGAATTAGTGAAAAAGAGGCTTTCGCTAAGTGTTTTTAAAGCTAAATTATTTTAGCAAAAAAGGGGTATTTATAAGGCGGAATACATGTGGGTTCATAGGCGAGTGTTCGAGGGGCGGGCCATTTAGTTAGCACTCCTCTGTCTTTAGTACAAACCCGTCTAAACAGCACGTTTTCTGAGGAATACCGTTAGCCGAGCTTGACGGCCAAACTCGATGGGCTACAAACACAACAACGACAACAAGAAAAACCCCAAACCTTTGTCCGCTACTTTGTAAAAGTTATGAAAAACTTTTTTTCTTGCAACGGCTTCCCGAGAGCAGATAATAGAAAACCTGCGAATGTGCTACCTCCATGAAAAAGTCTTATCTTTCCCGTAAAAAGTCATCTGCAGATATAATCCCTGTTTGAGAACTTCTTCTTGGAAAAGGCTTCTCTCACCCGTAAAAAGTCGTCTGCACTGCGGAGGCGTCGGCTTGCAGTAGTTCCCTCTAATATCAATATGCGCAACACAAATTATTGATGAATTTTTAACAAACAATTATAACCGGTATGAGCAACACATTTTTTTCCACTGAGAAATGTCAAAACTTAAAATGAATACCAAAAGTAGATCGATAATAATGTGCAGTAAAACCAATAAATATGTCTATTTATCGATGAAAATGTCGATAACAAGATCGCAAAATGGATCGATAGTTATGTATACATATGGGTCTTACAGATTAATATTCCTACACGATGCCAATAGATGCATACACTCATACAGTACCCACTCCAATTGGTTGGAGGCGCGTAGATAATAATAATAATAATAATAATAGATTGGCGCTTACACATATGTTAGTGTTTGGCCGAGCTTCTCCGGCGCGTACATACAATAAATAAAAATATTTAACCGTTTCGTTTAAGAAGCGAAGTAACAAACCCAAAATATTTGCCACTACCAAGTGATATAATATGTATGTGAATACTATCTGCTATCAAAATCATTGCAGGCGATAGGATCTAATAGGAAAGACGCCAAATGAAGATATAGAATTGTGACTGTGTTTTTAAGATCTGGCCATGCCCCATGAAGTTTCTGTACCATTTTAATTTCTTTGATTACAAAATATTTCCTTAAAGTTTTTAATGGGCTCTAAAAATGTCTTCTTATGATTTTCATAAATTTACAAACTCTTCAAAAATTATCTATAGGGTTTTCGTGGGAAAGTTGCTGCAACTGGAGTAGTTTGAGGCCGCCGAATCCCAGCAACATGAAAAGAGGGGGCTACATGGATCTTTATACCATGTCCCCACTAGAGCTAACCACGTAGTTATGGCT